CATTCCTCAATGAGACTCCCAGAGGATAGTCTGTAGGTATTTCTAAAACCTACAGGAAAAGCGTGTCTACTATTGTCTGACTTATTTATATTCATCCTCCTGGTAAATGTTTTATTGAGAGTTACCATTCTTAACATCTAAAAAGTATACTTTAAAAATCATAGTCTAGAAATCTACTAGAAATGATAAAAAGTTCTTTTTTTCTACAAAATGTATTTATTGCTCAATCTCTGCCAATGCAATCTTTTCCTAGACTACTGTTTTGTGGGGTTTTCTTTTATCACTTTTAGTACATTTTAAAATTTTAATTTCATATGTTTTGAGTCCAAGTTACTGCAAGAGGCCCAAGCCGTGTCAAGATTTACTGTAGAAAAGCCAGATTTTTATTTTTTTCTTCTGAGGAAGTTTATGGTAGAGTGAGATAAACATCCAAAATAGTTAAGGTTGTTTATCCTACACCACTTAGAAGACATTCTTGACATCACTTGTATACAACCAAGCAGGGAAGCTACTCAATCAGTGCTGACAGAAATTAAACCCAGATCACCCAGCCTCAGGGCATACAGACTGTATTTCAGTGTGATAAAATCTGCTTCTGTTGGGATAAGACCTGAAATGCTCATACAGCTCCTTTTGTCACAAGCCAAAGTTTGGTGCAAAAAAAGCCCCTCCTCCAGTTGTATTCCTTCCATGCATACAGTCGTTATTTCAGGACACTACCTCACCCTGACGTATACCTGCAGTAACTTAGGACATGCAAGGGAGGACAAATATTGTGAAAGAATCCCTGCCATGGCTTAAAACATGTTACTTGTTCAGTGTAATGACTTTGCTATTGGCCCCAAATTTGCAAGTCTTACTCTTGGAGAGCAGGGATCCTGGAAGCTACCAGCAGGTAACTCAAGGCAACACAGAATCTTCAGAAATTTTCTTTTCTTTCTTTTTTTTTACTCCATTGTACAGATACTCTAGTGAAGTCTGCCTGAATGTCACCCTTGACACTAGGAGCTGGAAGACATGCTGAACATGAAGAGATTGGAAAGGCATTTTCATGAAAAAACTGGAAGTGCCAAGCTTGCTGCTGTCTAGGGGAGAAGCTAAGAAAGGGTCTTGGCTGCATTGTTCAGTGGTGCTGAAATCCACTTTGTCCTTTACCTATGTAGAAAGCTCCCAGGTTTGGTAATATATATGCTTCTCTTTGCATGACTATTAACTATGAATATGTTTATTCCATGTATAAAAAGCTTGATGTGCTCTTTAAAAGCTGCTCTAAACCATTTTTCAGGAACAGAGCCTGTAAACGTGCTTTTTATTTCGTCTGATTCTTATCTCAGGCACATGTAAGTCTAAAACACTCATCACAGTGGAAATATCTATGATTTGCAGTGCAGTGTAAGTTCTTTGTTAGTAGATTTGCTAGTAATAAACTGAGAAACTCACCAGCTCTCATACTTGAGTCAAAGAATCTTGGGCATGACTCACTTAGGAATGCTTTGTACTCTCCTAATTGCATAATTACCTTAGAGAGCTCACTGGCCATTTGGCATAGAGGTCATGCCTGTTTCCTCCGAGCACAGGAATAACTCCTAGCTTCTCCTAGCAGGATGAAAAGGAGATGCGAGGAAGACATATGGCCATGGCCCTGCTTTTCCTCTGTATAATCCAGGAGCAGTATTTCTGCATGACTACAAAGTCCTTCATTCCTTGAAGTGAGGACAGGAAAGTTGATCATTCTGTAACTTAAATCAGCACTTTCACCATTGCTCTGAGACAGTGTCTGTATTGAACGGGTGATATTCTGTTTGGTACTGGTGCCTGTGACACCTGAGGTGTAATAAACAGGATTAAAAAAAGTGCAATGCCACAAGCACAGGTATCTTTTCCGCTACTCTCTCTCTCTGTGCATATATACTATATGCCATAGAGTTAGTCTGAATGACAAGCAAAAAAACCAGAAATCTCCCCAGCAGCTTGCTCTCAAAAATAGTAAGTAAAATGATATGGATAATACAAATATTACCAACAATTGCAATCATTCAAAGCAGATGTCAAGTGAAGTCAAGGGACCTGAATGTCCCATGAGAAAACTGGAAAATGAACTTGCTGGTTGCATTAATGAAGCATCCCTGATGCTCTTTTGTTGTGGGGACCAGCTGGAATTTGTGGTCCCTCTTTTTAACCTTTTTATTATCCAACAGTAAATTTGGAAGCCAGAATTCTGCTTTGCAGATTTGTGACAGCATCACTATGTAGTCAAACTCTCATTCCAGTCTCCCCTTTATTACACATATGAATTTACTCTCCATCATTGCACACTGATGCATCTTCCATTTGGAGCAGCTAAAATACATCTTCTCCAGTCCTGATGTGCTCTAAAGCCCATCCCCTAACATATAACATACACTGTGCCCCCACTGGGCATATGGATGAAAATCTTGCGGATCCTATGCTTCATGCTGATGCTAATGCTGCTGGTTTGTTTTAGACATGCACACAGGATGTCTGCCTCATTGGCCCTTCAGGAGTTGCAGATGGATGTGAATCCAAGTGGTCTGATGCACCTAAGTTTCTTTATTAGTGTAACTTCAGTGTCCATGGGCATCTCAAGCTGTGTACTTGGATTGGCAAGGGTATTCAAGATTACTCATTTGTCTAGACATTCATGATGGCTACCTAAATCTTTCCTTCTTTTTTATCAGTGTCTTTTTAAATAGAGGGAAGCAGAGCTGAGGCAGCATTAGCTTCCCCTTTCTGTGAGAAACCTCCGTTTAGAAGGTTCCCAAAGTGAAAGTGTTTGCGAGAGAAAACAACTGGGAGATACTCACATTCAAGCATGGTTCTGGATGAGTGGAGCTGTTCTTCTGATAAAAAGGGAGCATCACTCTAAAGCAAATGAAATGTTTTGGGGAGAGGAAGGAAAATGAAAGATCTCGATTTCTAATCTGAGAAAGAACTGGTCAGTAGTTTATCAAATTGATGGCTAATACCCAAGACTGATTCTGTTCTCAAAGATATATATCTGAAGTATGGACTTCATTACAGCTGCATCTAACTGAACCCAACAGACTTCAGAGGAAAGTCAGGCTCTGAGTTCCCATTGCTTTTGATATCAAACAAACAATAGGTAACACTGCTCTTTGCATGCTTTTTTGAATCATTTTCCTGGAGAGCCAAGGAGTTAACATGCCATAGTGCAGGTGACTGCCCTACGGATCAAGGAACACCAAAGTCTATAGCAAAGCTTCTTGCATTAGGATGGCGGCAGAGGAAACTATACAGAAAATGCCATCCAGGAAAGAGTTCTTAGAAGATGAAGTAGGGATTAAGCCAGAGCCTATTTTACCATTTGCTAAAACACTCAGTGCATTTGCCTTCATGGATTCTGCATTCCATAGGACTGCATGCTGAGTTAATAAAATCCCCCTCTTGAACAGGCTTTGGAAACTCAGACGGTCACTGACTGCCCATATGGCACAACTTGGCTATTGCTATTAGACAGCTGCAGGAAGTTGAGGACAAGAAAGGGGAGACAGCACCAAAATCTTATGGACACATAGGCATATAGAGAGACACATGTCCTTGCCTCATGGCAGGAGTTTCCAAAACATGTTCCTCATCAAAATGCGAGGATCCTCTTTTCTTTTTTTTTTCTCTCAGGAACTGCTATTTGAACTTCTGCTTTTCTTAGGTGATAAGTGTGTGATTTAAACCCTCATAGACCTGAGCTTAAACTGCAAGAGCATTTTAAAACAATTAGCACACCTAGAAGAAAAATAGCAAAACACCACATATCCGTTACTCGCAGACTTATAGGGAGATTGAGTTTAGCATTCTTCCTTGGGGAAGAAATGACATGCTGCCCAGTAACCCAATGCCAAACCACTCTCTGTTTTGAGTAGCAAATGCCATTCTTACTGCATCTAAAAGCCCAGACTGTGTTTCTTTTCTTAACATGAAACTGTGTATTTTTGTACTGCTTTCAAACAACTGTTTAACAGAACAAAGGAGTTATCTTTATGAGACAGCCAGGGAAATACACAAAGAACCGGAAGATGCGGCTAACCTAAATAATGACACTGAAAACAAAATAGCTATTCGGCTATAAATAAACATTTTGAAGTAAATATCATTATTTATATTAAGAGAAGACACAGATTTAATTCCTGAGGATAATGTCATCTGCTGTTTTCTCAGACTTAAGTTCTCATTTCTCTGTCAAGCCACAGAGTAACATTTCCTACTTTCTTCAACGTTGTACAGTATGAACTTTCATACCACTTTTTTTTTGGAGAAAATCACAAAAACCAGACACGTATGTTTAGGAGAAAGGTCAGATTTTCTAAAACAATAAAATTGCCCAAACTGCTATTTTTGAACTGTGCAAATGCTTGCATTCTTACAGGGCAGGGAAGTAAACATGCACATGGCTACATTAATTAAGACAATACTTAGTTTCCTGCAGCACAAAGGAATTAACAGTGCAATTTCCCATTGTGTGTATATGGGTGAGCAAAGCAGCAACTGCAGTTTCACAAAAAAGGCAAAGGCTGGTCTCCTGGTGGGTGAATGGGGAAGGAATTAAATAATCCTCTAAACTAAAGCCAGAATCAACTTTATGAGTGCCAGACTCAGCCATTCCGGCCATCTCACTTTTGGTAATACAGTTCTAAATGACCTGAGCAGAAGTCTGATTCATGTGTTTTGTCTTTTTTTTTTTTTCCTGGGGATCGTCTTATTGAGTATCTTGGGCAGGAAACTAGTCTGAGCTGTTGATTTACAAGTTTGAAAACAAGCACTCATGTTTCTCCCTCCCAGTCCTGACCAGCAGCCCTGGGCTGGATCACTTTCCCGGTGGAGGCAAGAAAAGTGAGAAAACAAAGTGCTCGTGAAGTGGCCAAGTGATAGGGAAGCACTTTCTGTCAGGCATAGTCCGCAAAACCCACCACTGACTCCGGCAGAATGTCAGGACATGGCACCGGTCCCCATCCCTCAGGTTTTACCTGCTGGTGGGCGAATGGCTGGGGGGGATGTCCTGCACAAAGCTCTGATCCATGCCCGGGATCCTGGCCTGGCTGTGGGGATGGTAGGCTGTCAGGACCACGCTGCCTGAGTCCTTCATCTCCATGATCATAGGCACATGACGGCCCCGCTGCTGGTGACAAAGGCGACCGGGAGGTGCTGACAAGCCCCAATGGGAGGCTGAGCGGTCCCGTCACAAGCACGACTGCATGGCCTGGCTCCGTAGCAGCCTCTCACCACCCTTTGCTGTCAGGAGAGCTGTGTAACTGAGACACGGCTCCTCTCCCTGTCAGCAAAGCTGAATTAGCATACATTCAAAAACACCGCCCACAAAAGAACCAACGGGGAAGTTTCTATGTTCCTAGGAAACTAGAAACCCGAGATAATCCTGCATGACGCTGAACAACCACTGGGAAGACGTTAAGAGTGAATTTCTTAATATTGCTGCTCCTGAAATAAGTTCAACAAAGTGAAACCGTTTGCTGGTTAAACACCAGGACAAGTGGAGAGCGCTACTCAAACACAAAACGTGCTTTGGCAGAGCAGGGAGTGACTTTAAGGTGCTCACATGAGACATTCAGAAACTGAGTGGGCTCTGCCCTGTTTAAATTATCAAGGAACAGGAACTTTGATTTCTTACATGCTGGATCATTCCTGTGGCAGGGAGCTGCATTTGTTTCTCTTGAAATCAAATTAAGCTTTCATTTTGCGTGACTGTGTACATAATTAGAAAGGCACTGGGAAACGAATGCATTATTTGTACATCATATAAAACATGTTCATCTGGAGCAATCACATAAATAAATACACCCCGAGGCACTTGAGATTTTTTCACGCTTGAGCTTGGTCTTTGCTAATTAAATGTTTTTCACTGAAAAGGAAACCAGCAAGCAAAAATACCAGGATCCAGTTCTGAAGTAACATCCAGAGAAAACTCTGCAGACAAAGTGAGAAAACTCACGCACCCATTTATTTTGCTCTCCCATGTCTTCAGTGTTTGTCTTTTTTTTTGTTTTTTTTTTTAAAAAAAGCATTTTGATAAATGCTTATTCCTGAAAGCTATTGTCCTGTCTGTGAAATCGTGGGAAGGATGTCCCTATGTGCACCTTTGACACAGCTGCCGGCGGCACCCCTACTGCAGGTACTGTGCAAAATGATCAGGCTCACCTTTCACAACCCCGTTGAGTGAAGCTGCCCTCCCTAGTGCTTCCATAGGGTTGCCTAAATTACATTGCTGATCTGTCTAGCTGGTGAAGTATCTCAGGTTTTGAAGGGTACAAAAATGATTCATCTCATCTTCAGCTTCCCCTGAACTTGGTATCCTGCCTGGAGGGACATGACAGCTTCAGTCAAATATGTTGCTGCAACTCATGTTAGGCAGTGCCCAAGTTAATTTTAAATTACCCAGCATAGGATGCTGATAACAGTACACTTGGCAGCTCTTCTTGTCAGACACACCCAGGAAGCATAATATTTGAACTTGCAGAGCCTCTAGCCTTGCTCCTGCTACACTGTCAATATAACCTGGCTTAAATATTTTAAAGCCAGGTTCTCCAGGCTAAAATCGTGGTTGCTTCCATGGCAGCGTAGTGGCCCCCTGGGAGGTACCATGTAGCCATGTACCTATGTTAGAAAATAAGGAGAAGGCTCTAAGCTAACTCTGGAAGCATCGCCTACTGCCCACAGCATCAGCACTATATCCCACTGTGCTGCCACTGAGGGCCAGGCTGAATGCAATAACTAGTGAAGACCTCACTGTGCTCTGTGATTACTGGGGTATTCAGGAAAGGAATAGGATCTGAGAAATTAGGATAGATGCCATCATGGATCTCACATCCCAACTCCGTGGAGCCCTGAATGAAACCAACTTGATGACTGGCTGCAGGAAGACTGGGGATGCTGCCCTTCCTACCAGGCTTTACTTCCCCTCCTGGACCAGAAGGTGGGTACCCAATTCTCTGATGAGAGGAAGTAAATTATAAATATAAATTTATATGTGGCACAAGTGCAAATAGATATTTTGAAAATTACTCAGCCAAAATTCATGTATCAAACTGAGAGCAAAAAATGCTAAACATATGTTAGAAAATATGTGCTGACATCCTTTAAGGGCATTCTCCACAATTTACTTCAAGGAACTAAACACCTGAAGAAAAACCTGAAGAAGTAGAAGGCACCAAACACTACCAGAAAGGGAGCAGGAGATCGGGTGTGAACAGAATATTGGCTGCAACTCCAGGAAAGTCTTCTTGTCCCTTTCCTAGCACCATAGCATTAGGTTTTTCCAGTACCATCAGATAATAAAAAGATGGTTATGTGCTTTAAGCTATATGTAGGTAAAGCCCATGGTAGAAATACCATATATTTTAAGTTTTAGATATATTTCCTCTCTTCCCATAATAAAAAACCCCAAACCCCAATATTACTTAGGAAAGAATAACGTTATCCTCTCAATAGTAAAATGCATATAAGGAAAGGAGGCCCACACTTATTAAAGGGGTTTTACTTTCTAAGAAAAATAAACATGTAAGATTTTATTTGGAGATTTATAAAGTGCTGGTGAGCAAACTGGAGGCTTGTATGTAAGTAGCAGTCTATTTGGCACAAGTATAAATAGGTATTTTGAAAATTAATCAGCCAAAATACACATATCATACTGGAAGCTAAAAATGTTTGTATGCATAATGGCTCTTGGGGTTACACATCTGCATATTATTGAGAACCAAAAATGGTCCTACATCAACTAGAGATATACCTTAGTCATTAAACAATGTTTTAACTGGATGAGTAATACAGACATAAGAAAAGTGTACAAGACAACATATGCCGTATTCCTCTTCAGTTCTATCATCTGTGCAATTCTGTTAGTAGAAGGAGAAATCATTCTCCTGGTTTCTAAAGAAAACATTTCATTCAAGATGCTTGTGTTCCTACAGGATCCCCTTCAACATTAGATCATGGAGTACTCAAGACTATGACAGTTCTAATTGTTGTTTTTTTTTTCAGGAAATTGATAGCTCTGTAGATCTTTCAAATACTCTGGAAATGCCATTTTGGAGAGAAATAATACTGTGAGGATTCTTTTGCTGGCAACCATTAAAGTGCAGGTAAAGCAAGAGAAGGGTCTGTGGGAAGTCTGTGGCCAGTGAGTAGCTCCCTTGGGTTTGATAGGCAAGGACCTTGTGCTTTCAAATTTTCCATTGTGTTTGTGCCAAGGGAAGTGCTTTGCACTTTCACAAATTTGGCAAAAGAATTATTTATATATGGATCAGTGGGCCCAGACTTTAAGATCTTGAAGTGAAAACTTCTTATTCCAAAAACATAACTTAGTGAAATAAACCTTCAGCTCTTCTGTTGAAGAGTATCTGTGACAGCCATATACAATAAGTATAAACACACAGAAAGTCACTAGTTAAAGCTTACTAAGATGAAAAAGGAATTGTCGTTGTTAACAATATTTATGCATTCACATAATATTAATTGGTAATTGCTGTGGCAGTCACATGATGGCAACCTCTGTGTAGCAGATTTATTGCTTATTGCTTGGAAAGGAAGGAGTAATGTTTTCACATAGATTTTAGACAGCCTTTTCTGGTTAAGTCCAAGGGGGGCTGTCACCGAGAGAAATGGGATTTGTCAGCCAGTGATTCTTGTCCCGAGACAGTGGGGGCATGGACCACTATATTATAAGAGTAGACTGAAAGAGCCCTGGAAAGCGCAGAATTACCCTTTGAACTACAAATCACACAAAAATTTCTGGGCATTGAATTTTATTGCTTGCTTCCAGCTTAAGTTAACCAGGACAAAGTTGGACAGAACTTACAAATCTTTGAAGCTAATTTTGGACCAGCTAAATGTGAGCTTGGGTTAGATTAAGTTTTAAAAGAAGCTGTGTAAAACTCAGCATTTTTCACTGATTAAATCAAAGGAAATAGAGTGGAGCAATACACAGAAAAATGTCATCCTAGTACTGCATCTAAATTTCTTCATCGCTCTTGCAATAAATTTTGTATCTATCTGTGTGAAAGAAACTAAAGGCAGAACCACCATGTTTTTTCCATACTTTGGTGAAAAAAAAAAAAGGGCATCTCTTGTTTCTCTCTAATCTGTCATTCGGATGGAAAGATGCTTGAGGGGTTGGGAACAGAAAGACTCACCACACCAAAGAGCTGGCATGGGCAAAAAGCACCTGGACGCTGAAAACAAGGAGTGACACAACGTGGCATAAAAGTCAAGGATGGCAGTGTGTGAATCTCCTACTGCTCTGAAAAAAGTGTCTGAGAAGGGGGCTGACTCTTGCTTCGAGAAAATTTTTCACTGTGGCTTCATGTCTGTTTGCTTTAAAATAATTTTATGCATCATGAAGGATAATTTCTAATGCTTGATTTAGCCTTGGTGCTTTGTATTCCTATGATGCCAGAAAGTTTGCAGTCTTTTTTTTTTTTTTCCACTATAAAGGTAAGGTGTTTTTGTGTCTCAATGTGGGCAGCTGTGTGAATGAGTGAGTGAGATTCATCGTAGCATCAAAACACACCCACTGCTTTTAGAACATTGAAAGATTCATAAGCCAAAAAATAAACAAAATTAAAGGAAAATCTTTATTATTCTACTTTCTTTGTCTTTTCAAACTGAGATTAAGAACAGCAATGAAAAAACTTTTTCTTGTCCTTTACAGAGAGGTTAAGTAACAAGGCTATTTAAGCAGAGAAGAGAAATCACGTATTGTGGCAATTGGTGGTTTTTCAAAGGTTTTCAATTAAAGTACAAACCAAAACATTCATCTTTGTTAAATATAACCTCACATATTTCAGTTGCAGGCCAAATTTAACTTCATTTTGGTGAACTTTAATATGGTCAATTTTTTATTGAGTGATTTATTATGGGTTCTTTTATTTTTAAAAAGATAGAAAAATATAGAATAAAATTTTTTAGGCAACTGTGTGTAGCTGCTTGCTTAGAAATGACCCTCATTTATTTTCTAGGAGTTCAAAAGTTACTTCTCCTTATCCCAGATTAGACTACCCATTTATTATTCCCATGTTACTTATGTACAGAAAAGGAAACTTCCTTAATCTATCTGCCACAATAGGGCTTTCTGGAGGT